CTTTATCTTTATCTTTATCTTTATCTTTATCTTCAAGTTTAAAGGCGGTAGTTACTTACTTGTATGGGTATCAATTGTGGTCTCTGTTACAAGTATACATGAGTACAAGAAGGTTACTGTTTACATTGTATGCCACCACATTTCCTTTTCTTAATACTTTTGCACCTTTCCGTAAGACAAGTTATAGAGGTTACAATGCTGTATTTGTGTAAACTTCGGTCATGCTTTTGGGTTCTGAATTTTCTTGAAGTGCTTCGCGTGCGAATAATGGTGTGAGTATATACTACACACACACATTTACAAAATGAGAAGGCCAAATTTCATTGATTAATCAAAATGTAAGCCAAAGTTTCCAAATTACCATCTTTATGTTGTTGATTGAGTTATGATATAATACTTAGAGTATTTTTGTAAGAAGAACTTACTACCGATAAAGTTAAATTTTTCTATCAGCACAGAGTTACTGAACAGTGTTTTTTTATATCCCTCAGTACTTATGGAATATTCTACTAAATACCTCAAACCAACTCTTTGCACCAAAATAACCTAAAATTATGTTTCGTCCTCACTTTTTCCTCGCTCACCATTAATAAAATGAGCTTAATTGTGTCGTTGCGTATGCCTCTGATTCTAGTCGTGAAGGTGAAATATCTAATTACGTTCTTTTGTGCTGGCGTTCACTCAAAATTATTTACCCACACACGTGGCAAGTGGCGTTGAATCCCGCACATTATAAAAATAAATTCTTTGAATGCTTTTATCTCTTGGCGCTATTCACGTAGTTGCTGAAGGTCAAAGGTGGACAGCAGTCCAGATAGTGTGAATGTTTAATTAATTGGATGCACATTGCACTGGCTGGCTGTGATGACAATATTAAATTTATGCCAGTGCTGCTGCTGGTTGGCGGAACTAAGAGTTTCTAATGAAAATTTGTTGAAGGTGCAAAGTGCATGTGGGTTGAGTGGACAGCATTATAAAATTTGTTGTAGGTGTTGGACTCATATGTGAATGCGGGTAGGCGAAACATGAATTCATGTGAATAAATTTTTTTAGAAATATGAGATTTTAAAGAAGAAAMTAATAAGTTAATATTCTAATTAAAGAGATTATTGAGAGTGTAATAAAATGCTATTTCTAAATTACACATTTTAGCTTTTTTTCTATACCTGCCTTTAGTGGAGTCGGCGGTAATTGCTGAAAATAAAGTAGAGCTGCCATGAAGGTATTTTTGATGACGTTTCATCTAAATTACATTGAAAGTTCGTCAGACGAAAAGCTTATTTTTCGGGTTTTGATAACATAACTCTGCAAAAATCGCTTATCTCAAAATTCTGTCATTTTTATTTCCTTTGCGAAATATTAATATTTTTGTTTCCATATTTTCTGATTTCCACAAGATCTTGTGTAACCACATTGYATACATTTTAATCCTACAATTTTTACATAAACTTTTATGTAGSTATTTTAACCTGTTCCTGGTTGTTAAGCCCCACTTACGCCACTTCTAGTGTGAGTAAAGCATTATTTGCATACTTATTTACTTAAGCATCTGCATGTGTGCGGATTTAAATACGTACGTAAGCTCACGCACTAGAGTGTGTGTGTTTGCGAGTTTATGTATGTGTCAGTGAACTTAGTTACTTACCCGATCGTCCGACAGATATTGTCTGTACGGCAACGGTGGCCGATAGTGATTTGTCCGTTGGCAGGGCTGCCGGCGGCACTGGCAGCGGGCCAACTGTCGAGGTGGTCGTTAGGTCGCAACATTCACGCTCGGGAAATTCGCTGCACCGTACCAAATGCAGCACACCGAAAAGTGCCACCCAAGTGCTGAGGCAGCAGCAGGTGAGCATTTTCAAGTTTTTTATTTTGAAACGTGTCATCTCACCGCCACCGGGGCTTTATGTTGATTGCAGCGCTGTGGCACAGCTGTCGAAGATGTAGCTGGTGTTTTTGTTGTTGTTGTTGTTKTTGCTGTTGRTGTATCTGCTGCAACTGCGGCAAGTTTCGGCGATATTTTYGTGAGTGAAATAAATATTTAGCGCAGCGTTGTTGCCGTTCTTGCTGCTATCTGGTTATTGCTGTGAATCGTTGTAATTATTTTTGYTGTTGTTGTCGCTTTTACTAAATTTCGATTGGCGGCACTATTTGCGTTTATCAAAGCGTCTCACTGCATGCAATTGGTATTTGTTGTTATTATTGTTTCATTATTGCTTTGCAAGCGAAACGCTTTCACTAATGGATGCAGTTTGGTTTTTCGTTTTTTTGCGTTTCGGTTTTGTTTTCTAAGCACTTTGAGTTTCTAATGAAAGTAGTTTTATAGCTGTAAGTAAATTTCAATGAATCGTATTCATTTTTTTCGATTTGCTGTCGTCTGCTCAATCATTCAAAAGCGTCTCGTTTTAGAGAGCAGATTTATTAATGACCCCGCTGTGCATTAAAATAGGTTTAGATGTTTTTTCTTAATTAAATGGAAATGAAAATGATATTTTCGCTATATAAATGTAAAATAACTGTAAATTAAATCTGGGTGGATTCAAAATAGTGAGAATATGTGAAAGAGATAGAAGTGACGAGGAGTGGAAGCTATWCATTTCACAAATACATATTTTTGCCTTATACGAATTAGATKTTGATCGGTCAGCTTATGCTGWWACATTCTTTTGAAAATGATATTCTAGCCTTGCCTTGACTCGTAATCCTCGTAAYATTTGGTTTCAACAATACAGCGCCAGTTCTCACACAACGCATCATTCATACGGGTGAGCTTTTTCCTGTGCGGATATGTAAAGTCTAAAGTCTAAGGGGACTATCCCGCTTCGATTTAGGTCTTATAGCAAAACAGTGCTAGTATTATTCGCCAGTTACCAGTCGAAATGCGAAGCAATGAGTCATCGAAATTAAACTCAACGGCTGGACCATTAGGGAAGTGGCCGTGGCCACTTGCCTTTGAAAGAGACAATCTTCAAAAATAAAATTTTTGAAGAATGTTTCTCTGAATAATATTAAACATTCCCCATTTAGTTTGAAGTTTCTGTGCTTTTTCTTTAAAAAGTGGGGAACTTAGAGGTGTATCACTGTTTAAATGTGTTTATAAAGCCGTGCTACCTAAAAAAAAAAGTTTTCTATACATAACTTATTTGCTAAAAAAATACCAGAAAATGCCTTTAGATAACACGCCAGTAGGCAAAGCAACAGTGTAGCGACTTCGCCATGGATGATGGTTATTATATGCTTGGGCAGCGCGCCATGACATGGCGTATGAGCAACTTTTATTGCTTGTTTAAACTTACACACAACATCAGCATGCGCACATTGTTGTTGGTGGTAAAAACTTTGCTATTGTGTTTATTKTTATTTTTATTTGGCTTGGCTGTGCACTCTCCTCCCTAACTTTCCGCCCACTATTGTTCTGTCTGTTGTCACCTGACTTTTTATTGCGCTCATTTGCTTGATTGTGGTTCTTGTCGTACAAATAACGGTATTCTGGTAAGTCATACCTTATTTGTTAGCACTARTGTTCGGCTTCTGCTCTATCCATTTGTTTTATGCTCAGCTCTCAGTTTAGTGTTGCCGCTTGTAGTTTGCCACAAATGATAATGTCGCTGATTTGGCTTTTGTGTTGGAGCACAAAGTCCGTTAGCGTGGCCAGTGTTGGCAGAAGTTTGTTTTTGAAAACCACAGCTTCGCAAACTAATATTATAATATTTGTTATTCAAAAAAAAAAAAAAAAACTATATATGTTTATGGATATGTAGGGAGTTTATTTAGTTCGAATGTAATATGTGTGAGTACTCTTTATAAGATCTGTGAAGTAAGTTTTTTCATATAATATAATATAATATTCTTCCGTATACTAAGAGGGTTCTTATAATAAACAAAAAAAGAAAAAATTCTATACAAGGACTTAGTCCTTAGCTGTCAGTTTGTATGTCAGCTATATACTATGGTGGAGTAACATCAACCATTCTGTCAAATGGGTAGCTGGGTGAGGAGAAGAGAAATCAAAATTAAATCAAAAAATTACTCTTCGTACAACTAATATTACTTTCTCCTTTAATATTCATCAACTTCACATAATCAACTCAACCCGACAATTTCTCCAACCACWCGACACTCTATCAAGCCGTCGAACTCTTTTAGCCTTTTGACTGATTGCGATGAATTAGTCAGAATAACATTTGCTCAGATTGCAAATATTTRCCTCATACATACAAATAATTTGCGCTAACCTGCAGAATGAAAAAAGATAGCGAACCAACAAAGGAAATGCAAATATTTGCAGCGCTCACACAAACGCGCGCAGGCGCTCATGCAAGCACAACGGTCTAGTTTGCATATGTAGATAGGCGGTAGTGTGCAGCTTTTCCTCGAAACTGCAGCAGTAAACGTTGCCACAATGGCGCGGAAACAGCGCGAGGTACTTGAGTTGATGGAGGTAGGCAATGAGTGAACGGTTGGAAGGTGTTTAGGAAAGTGCCTAAGTGAGAAAATTACCAAGTGACAGTGCGCAGAAATGGGTAGCTATGTGTAAATAGACAAACGGTAAACACTCAAGTAAGTCATCGGATGAAGTCAATCAATTCAACGGGTTAAAAGCATATAAGGGTAAAGTTCGTAAATATAGAATAATGTGTGGATGCATAAATGTGTCGTTGTCGACCTTCTTGTTGTTTGGTTGAAAGGTTGATATATCAAAAAGAAATCCTTATAAAATGAGAGGGGCGTTGATATATTACATACATGCGAGTATATGTATATATGTATGTAAATATATTTTTTGCTGTTAGAAATGTTATAAAAAAAATTATCGTAGCAGAAGCGTGACCAAAATTTTCGTCTACTTTTGTAAGAGGATTGAATACAATAATACAAATTATAATAAATAAAAACCTTCACTGATAAGGATAAAAAAAAAAAACATAAAATAAAATACCGTGCGGTCTGTGGTCGCGAATAAGAAGCGGAGGAGCGTGGTTGAATATTTAAGGGTTAAAAAATTCAACAGGTGGCAACACTTCTCAAAAGTGTTTTCAATTCAAACAGTTTTACATAATATCTCTCCCTTGATAATTCATAATATCTTTTATATTTCAATGAATTTAAAATTTGAACCAGGTGGCAACTTTTCTAAATAATATTTGCAATTCAGAAGGCTTTAGATAACACACAATTTGGTTATATTAAATTTATTTGCCAATTTTTTTGGAGTTAAACATTTAAAACAGGTGGCAACTCTTATCATTTTTGTCTTTGCAATTTAAACATTTTTAGATAGCACACTATTTGGCTATATTAATTCATTTAATTTAATTTGTTTATGGTTAGAAATTTTAAACAGGTGGCAAATTTTATCAAAAAAATTTGCAATTTAAACAGTTTTAGGTAACACACAAGTAGGCTATATTGAATTTATTGGATACATTTTATGGAGTTGAAAGTTTAAAAGAGGTGGCAGCTCTTATCAAAAATATTTGCAATTAAAACAGTTTTAGATAACATTCCTCCTATAATAATTAGTTGTGTCTGTACTTTTTATCGAATTAAAAATTTTGAGAAGGTGGCAACTCTTATCAAAAATATACGCAATTTAAACAGTTTTAGATAAATTCCCATTCGTAATACGCCACATAATCTTATTCATTTTATTTCATTAAAAGATTTTAATTAAGTGGCAACCCAAAGAAATTTTCAGTTGTAGAATTTTCGATTTTTTAATTTGTTAATCTTATAATATAATTTTAATAATTATCTTTCTTAATCTTATAATTTTTTTCTATTATGCAATTACATGAAATCCATTGACTCTATGTCATTGGACAACACTGTACATACTCATGCAGATTCTGTTAAATACATAAGAATCCTATACTTGGTTAATTCACATACTAGCAGTTGCAGAACTTTGCTGAGTTCAAGTGCGTATCGGTGTTGCATGCTGCCGCCGTCACCGCCACTTTTAGCGCCCAACTGTAAAGGTATTTGTTTGCGCAGCGCTGAAAGCGTCAAAGTAAAGGTGCGAAGGTGCAGCGACGTTGCAATAGACGAGACTGGCGATATGCACATTCAGCATTCGCAATGCAAAAAGCAACGCCACCCACTGTCGCTGCGCTTCGTGGAGGTGTTTGCTGCACAAAGAGGTTGCTACGCCACGCGCCAGCGAGCAGTTAGTCAAGCGCGTGAATGCAAATATGCACACGCTTCACGAAAGTAGCGGCGCAACTCCACTCTAACTGTCGTGCCGGCATGCAAGTGTAGTGTCGTTCACTCGACTACCTCCAACTGTCGTCTGTCTCACTCTGCTGATTGCCGCCAACACGCCGCCGTCAAGCGCGCATTTGTATGCGCTTAACGAGGCAGTGAGCAAAGCAATTATTTTCGCTTTTCGCTTTGAGCTCCTGTCTTTTTGTATTTCTTGCCGGCTTCTTGTTTCTGTTGCTGTTTTTGTTTTATTTGCGTTTCGTTGCGTTGTTATTTCGTCTTTACTTTACGCTTGCCTCTGCGTGGCTCCGCACCTTTGCAGCGTTGCTCGTGCGCGCTACAGCATGCGGCACGTTGCAAATGAAATAAAGTGTTGTCGTGATGCGAGTCCGTTGTGCACGTGCAACAACGCGCGAGTTACAAGCGTCTACAAGCAAATATGTGTTCGCAAGCATATAAATACACACAGACATTTGTGTGTTTAATGTTTTTATGAGGGCATTATACACACATATGGCGCTGCTTTGTTGTAAGCGCAAGTGTGTAAATTTAGTTGCACGAAATTGCGCCCTGCAACACATGTGTGTGCTTCCATGTAGCTTCATTTGTAAAGGTTTATTTTCCTAAGGTAAAAGTGACATGCGACAAAAATTTATTTTCGTTTACTTTTCCATTCCCTTTTTATACCCTGAACAGGGTATATTAAGTTTGTCCCGAAGTTGATAACACCCAGAAGGAAGCGTCGGATACC